AACGTTCACCACCGACGAGATGAACTTCGCGTCGAAGGGGTTTTTGCCGCGCTGTGCACTGGAGGGGCAAATGGTAAACACTAAAAGTACTGCACGAAGGGGGGGGGAACTACTAGGGTTACGAATAACGAGAGAGGTTTGGTTGGTTTGGTTCACGCGCGCACGCAACAGAAAGTGAGGGAGGTGGACGTTAAAGTAACAACACGTGTTACAAATGACAAGGAGAGGGGCTTGGCGATGAACGCCCGCGCGACGCCCCCGTGCACGTGGAGAGGCAAGACGTAAACACTCATAGTGCTGTGGTCTAGAACGAAATGCGACTGCAAATTTTGATGGGCGGGGATGGGGACTACTTCAAATAATTACCGGCCACTCGAACAGAGACAATTAGGTATTCCGCTGCAAAACGATCGGAACCTAAGGAAACTTCTGTAGTTTCCGCCTTCCTCCGAACGGTTTATATACCGTATACCTATAAAAGCACGCAAAGACTTACCTTTACAAGGTTGTATGAGGTCCGGTAGACCCCAGGCTCGCAGCTGTTGTTCTAATTGATCCATCACCCACACCCGCACAAACACAAACACACACTGAGAGAGAGAGACGATGTCACCCGGCGTGCGAATCTAGCTGGACTGGCCGGCAGCCGGCCCTGGCTCGGCTCGGCGCGGCTCGGCGCGGCTCGGCGCGGCGCGTCTTGGCTTGACTCGGCTCGTCTCGCTTGCCGTCTCTGGCCGGTGACGGCGCCTCACCCCGCTCGCCCCTTTCCTCACATTTCCCCCCTTTTGAAGCACTGGCCCCGCAGGCCACTCGCCGGAGCCGTGTGGATCTGGTTAGCCAAGGTTGTTGAGGCGCACGATGTTGATCATGATGCTCGGGTTCGAATACGCATGCCGCTAGGCTATTTTTCGACCGTATTTAATCGCATTAGCTTGTCCCAAGTACATGGGGCTTGAAACCTTGCCCCTCTCAGTCGATTGGATTCAAGGACAAAAATGCTCTTGGGACAAGTACATGCGCCAAGACCACAATTCAAGTACATGCATGTTCTTGTCATAAGATTCGAGTCTTCTGGGTGCAGGTATTACTGCGTATTACAAGGTATTACCGGGTATTACTGAGTATTACAGGGTATTACAGTCATCGTGTACAGGGTATTACTGAAGTGAATACCCCCTCGACCCAAACAGCCGGCCCGCAAATCACTTGGTGGAATCGATTGTTTTCGATCAGGAGAGTAAAGTTTTTGATTGTTTCGCGGTTCGGCTAAAGCATTCTCTCAAAACAAACGAAGGTACTTTTGGGGGTGGAAGTTTCCCGGACCCGACATATCTCGGGTACCAGAAGTCCTAAATACACCAAAAAACGTCAAAATGCGTCATTTTGTTAGTTTTACATTGTTTTATACTATACTTACCATTCATTTGTAAGACGGACACTTAGCACTCGGCTACCGCTAATGGGTCCCGTCAAATTCGCACGCAACCAAAAATGATGGCAGAGTAAATTAAATGTAGTTGACCAAGACAAGTTTTGTTAGTTTTAAATTGTTTTGGACTCCAGAACAATCGTTCAGTGCTACTTTCTTGAATTTATCGTGTTAGCTAACTGCGGGTCAAGTTATGTTCACATAATTCAACAACAAAGACGAAAAGCTCCGGAACTGGTCTGAAGAGACTCTTTTAAGTTTGTTTAATATAGTTTCGCTCTTAGATTGCCCCCCTTCTACCGTAAATGGGGTGAGCTCAGTTGTTATCAATGTTAGCTAACTTTGGGTCCGGGAAAATGCGCAGATATTACTCACGTCGCATAAGAAAACCATCTTCAACATGCAACCTCAAATTCGTTCGTTTCGGTTTGTTTCAGTAAAAAACCCATAAATGAACGTGGTATATTCTCTCTATAGAGATGCACGCGGTACTGGGTCCGGCCACATTCTCAATTAAGCAGTGGTAAGTATTGTGAAATGGCAAAACTTACTTTTTCAGCTAGATTACATTTGTTTTGCATTGTTTTGTAGTCCTTTACTAAACAAAGTCAATTCCGGCACTTCTCTAGGGCGGTGTGACAAGTTGGGTCCGAACAACATCACAAACAGCTCTTTGAAGTTCCAAAATTGGTCAGAATATTAAAATTCTTGTTCATATTCGTTTGTTTTGGTTTGTTTCGGTATGAAAAACCATAACAACATCGGTTATAATAGGCCTAAGGAGAAGCAGACGGTACTGGGTCCGGCCACATTCTCAATAAAGCAGTGATAAGTATTGTGAAATGGCAAAACTTACTTTTACAGCTAGATTACATTTGTTTTGTATTGTTTTGTTGTCCTTTACTAAATAAATTCAATTCCGCCACTTCTTTGGGGTGTTTTGACTAGTTGGGTCCGTTTAACGTCACAAAATCTCTTTTAACTACAAAAATTGGTCGGAGTATAATAATTCTTATTCAGATTCGTTTGTTTTGGTTTGTTTTAGTATAAAAACCATAACCATGTGTGTTATATTGTGCCTAACGAGACGCACGCGGTAGTGGGTCCGGCCACATTCTCAATAAAGCAGTCAGAGACCTCAAACGGGCTGACTCAGGCGGGCTGCTCTCGCGCGGCCCGCTCGGTCAGTCAGAGTGTTGCAGCGGTAGTCTGTTCCGACGGAGCCGCCGTCCGGTAGGCTCCGGCCAAAACTCTTCCGGAGCGTTTTGCAAAGCAAGGGAGCCCGCGTGAGCCCGCCCGAGCCCGCCCGCGCCAGCCCGCGCCAGCCCGCGCCAGCCCGCGCCAGCCCGTCCGTCCCGTCAGCCAATGAGAGAAGGCGATTCTAGCGCAGAATCGGCCGGACTCAGGCAGCCCGGCGGAGCCCGCGACGGGCTGGTGCGGGCTCGAGCTTTGGGAGGCGGGCGGGCTCGGGCGGGCTCATATCTGTGCGGGCACGGGCGGGCTCATACTCAGCGCATCACGCGCTACAAGCCGGGAGCCCGTCAGAGTCAGCCCGTTTGAGGTCTCTGAAAGCAGTGATACATATTGTTAAATAAGAAAACTTTTTTTTTACACAGATTGCGATTGTTTTGCATTGTTTTGTTGTCCTTTACCAAGTAAAGTGAATTCTGCCACTTCTCTGGGGTGGTTTGACAAGTTGGGTCCGTCCAACGTCCCAAAAGCTCTTTTAACTCCAAAAATTGGTCAGAATATTAAAATGCCTGTTCATATTCCTTTGTTTTGGTTTGTTTCAGTACAACATTCATAAATATATGGGTTATACTGTACCTAACGCGAGGCCCGCGGTACTGGGTCCGGCCATATTCTCAATGAAGCAGTGATAAACATTGTGAAATGGAAAAACTTTTCTTTTCAGCCAGGTTACGTTTGTTTTCACATTGTTTTGTTGTCGTTTACTTAATGAAGTCAATTCCGCCATTTCTCTGGGGTGGTTTAACAAGTTGGGTCCGTTTAACGTCCCAAAAGCTCTTTTAACTACAAAAATTGGTCAAAATATTAAAGTTCCTGTTTATATTCCATTGTTTTGGTTTGTTTCAGTATAACAACCAGGGGTTATACTGTGCCTAACGCGAGGCCCGCGGTACTGGGTCCGGCCACATTCTCAATGAAGCAGTGATAAACATTGTGAAATGGAAAAAACTTTTCTTTTCAGCCAGTTTACGTTTGTTTTACATTGTTTTGTTGTCGTTTACCTAATAAAGTCAATTCCGAAATTTCTCTGGTGTGTTTTGACTAGTTGGGTCCGTTTAACGTCACAAAAGCTCTTTTAACTACAAAAATTGGTCGAAGTATAATAATTCTTATCCAGATTCGTTTGTTTTGGTTTGTTTTAGTATAAAAACCATAACCCTGTGGGTTATATTGTGCCTAACGAGACGCCCGCGGGCTTGGTCCGGCCACATTCTCAATGAAGCAGTGATACATATTGTTAAATAGAAAAACTTTTTTTTTTACACAGATTACGATTGTTTTGCATTGTTTTGTAGTCTTTTCCTGAAAAAGTCAATTCCCGCAACTTCTTTGGGGCGATTTGACAAGATGGGTCCGTACAACGTCACATACAGCTCTTTTAACAACAAAATTAAGTTAGTATACAATAATTCTTAATCAGATTCCTTTGTTTTGGTTTGTTTCAGTACAACAACCATAAATATATAGGTTATACTGTTCCTAACGAGACGCCCGCGGTACTGGGTCCGGCCACATTCTTAAAGGTGGATTCAGAGTTCCCAAGATGCGAGCGTGATTTTCACGCCGCTAGCGTGAAAAGAGTTGTTTTAGTTAGCAGTTGACTTTATGCAACAGCCAATAACAGGCCGACGTGGGGCTATGCCATTATTTTCAGCTGAATCAGCTTCAGAGTTAGCGTGATTTTCACGCAAGCGTCTGCTAGCAGCGTGATTTTCACGCAAGTTCGAAGGGGCACTTGGGAGATATTGGAGAATGTGCACTATCGAACTTGCGTGAAAATCACGCTGCTAGCAGACGCCTGCGTGAAAATCACGCCGGTTGCGTAAAAATCACGCTGCTAGCAGACGCTAGCGTGAAAATCACGATGGAAGCGTGAAAAATCACGCCAGCTCCAAAGCTGATTCAGCTGAAAATAATGGCATAGCCCCACGGCAGAGACCTCAAACGGGCTGACTCTGACGGGCTCCCGGCTTGTAGCGCGTGAGGCGCTGAGTATGAGCCCGCCCGTGCCCGCACAGATATGAGCCCGCCCGAGCCCGCCCGCCTCCCGGAGCTCGAGCCCGCACCAGCCCGTCGCGGGCTCCGGCGGGCTGCCTGAGTTCTGCCGATTCTGCGCTAGAATCGCCTTCTCTCATTGGCTGCCGGGACGGACGGGCT